TGGGCAGCGAGACCTCATCTCTACAATAAATAAAAAAAAAAATCAGCTGGACGTGGTAGCACATGCCTGTAATTCTGGCTACTTGGAAGGCTGAGGCGGAAGGATCGCCGGAGTCCGGCAGTTCGAGGCTGCAGTGGCCGGGAGCGGCCACTGCACTCCAGTCTGGGCGACAGAGTGAGACTCCAACTCAAAAAAAAAAAAAAGAATAATTAGCCTCAATAGAATAGTAGACCAAAGCAAGGAATGTGAGTCCCACGTCACTACCGTATGACTATCTTGTCCTGCTAATTATTTAATTCTATATTATAATATGACAATGGACAAATCATTTTGGGAACTCTGAATGTGGAATAAGAGGATATGTGCTGAATATTTGCATTTGGTATAAAGGAGAAAAGGGATAGATCATAAAGGAGATGGCACTCGCTATTCAATCCTGACATCCTATCAGCAGTCTTATCACTTGTCCTTGCAGTGAAGTTTCTTACCCTTGCCCTTGATTTTGCTGCCATTGCCACCCCATTTATCAAAACTTCATGAATATCCACCTAGATGGTTGGAAAATATATTCTTTCTTCTGCCTCTCTCTACTCCTGTTCACCCTATACGAGCAAAAGCTTATTTCTCCTAAAGGCAGACTTCTGAACATGTTTCTCCCTGCTCGGTTCTTCAGTGCTTCTTAACTACTAGCCTAATTTAAAATAGCATGTCAGGTTAGCCCCAACCTGCATCACCAGACAGCTTCATTCGAACTACTGAGTGTTTCAAGTAAAATGAAGAAGTTCTTGGTAGACTACTTGTGAAAATGATGCCTATTCTACCACATTCTGTAACCAGGCCCTTTCCAATGTGATTTTGTAGCTTGTCCCAGAAAGTGGTAGAGTCTATTTTCTCACCCCCAGAATGAATGGTTTGGGATTTGCTGTAGCAAATAGGACACAGAAGTGACTGTGTGCCAGTTCTGAGTCTGATCAGCAACATTCTACTTTTGCCATGAAATAGATCTCATGATAGCCTTATAGAGGATTAGAGACCGTGTGGAACAAGACCGAGTCTACCAGATGAGACCACTTGGACCAGCCAGCCAACAGCTTACTCATCAGCTGATTCTAGATATGTGAGTGACTTCAGCTGAGATCAACCAAGTCTGGCTCAGATTAGCAGAACTGCCCAGGTATAATTAAGAGAAACAGCAAGAATTGTTGTCTGAAGCCACTACTCTTCAGGGATTTTATTAAATACTACTGTTGTAGCATTAGCTAACTGATACAAAATACTGTACTGCAGTCTCTACCTACCCAAAATTCCCAGTCACATGAATTGTATCGTCCTAAGTCCAGAACTACTGTCTGGAATGAGTCTTTTTCTTCAGCTCAGATGGGCAAACAAAATCCTCTAACAATCTTCTAGGATGCACCAATATATTAGCTGCTTTGTGACCCATTTTCTAATTCTCTCTATTAATTATCTACCTCTCTGCACTCATATACTCTTACAGCTTTAACATAATTTGGTTGAGTTGTTGTATATCTTCTACTGTTTTGTAAGAGGCTGTCTCTCTTGCGCTCTCTCTCTTTTTTTTTTTTTTTAATTCCCCATAGTACCTAGCAGAAGCTTGTTATTTGTTGATCGTAATTGAATTGCTCTGAAAGATTAGGAAATTCTTTTTTCTATACACAATCCAACACTCAGTTTTGACTACTATATTAAATAATTTTATTTCAGTCTTTGAATTTAGCCTATTTTCTCCAGAAAAAATATGTCCAAATGTATAAATTTAGTTATTTCAGAAATTCACTATTTTACCAAGTTTGCTGGAACATATATATTATGTAAATTGAGGGAAACCTGCATGCTTCTTTTGATCTTAAAATGATAGAAATATATATACTATTGAATTGTGATTACTTATTTATTACTTACACTTTTATTACTGCTATTATTATTTTACCATAAGGTGAATTATAACATTCAGGAAGTTTGATTAAAATTCAACTGAAGTTTTTTTCCTAGTTGATCTGGCTCTTTTTAAAATAAAAGTAGCCTTTGAGAATTCAAGGTATTTTAATTTATCAACTGCTTGCTATATATTAGCCATTGAGGTTAGGATATTAAACATAATAAAGGGATTCCTAGGAAAAACCGGCATTAATCAAGTCATTACATCTCATGTATTCATTTAAGAAAGCAAGCAGTAGACTCATCTCCAGTGAGGAGTAAATAATAAATAATATTTAAGATTGAGTACTCCCAAGGTTTTGCCTTTTAACTCAGGACACAGTCTCAAACTCTGATGTATTAATTTTCATCAAAGTGTGAATAGATAGATATTTTGCTTTATTTGTTTTGGTGAAGAACAGACTGACTTTTGTTTTGTTTTTCTTTTTTAAAGAAAAGTTTCTATTCTGTTCCTCCATACGAGCAATCTACTTACTGCTCAGCCAGCCAGTCTATCTTGGTCCTTGGGGATAGTTCAAGTGTATGTTGTGATGGTGAAACCAGGAAACTACCCCTAGCAGGCAGTTCTTTCACATAATTATTGTGACCTGTGACTACCTTACCTGAGTTCCTCTTATATAAATTAAAATTTAAAAATATGAATCCACTTCCTAGATATGCTATAAGAAATCAGAATTAACTTTTTAAAGAGTGTTAAACATTGTAAATTAAAAATAAATTTAAAATAAAATATTCTAAGCAGGCAGTATTCAAGTGTACTTTAATACAATGTGTAAACATCAAACAATTATGTAAAAGGTTAAAGTAAGAAGAAAACCATTAAGGGTCTAAGTTAAGTTGCAAATTTCCAGTAGGAGAAAAGGACAACCATAATATTCATCAGGAGATGTTGCAGTATGGTTACATAAGCTCTTCCCTTTGGGAAGCTGTTGCATAGGTTTGATGGCAAAATATGAACTATATTTAAAAACATTGAGCTGCTACTAGCATTCAAATAAAGCATTAAGAAGGCACTAGAAGTACAGAAATAATTAAGACATATAGACATTCACAATTAGTGAGAAAAACTAAAAGGAAGACAAATGAGTAACCGCCAAACTTTTGAATTAATCTAGGCAAAAGTGGCAGTGAGAATGCTTAGATAGGAGTGATTAAATCTGCTGAATGCTGTGTTGTGTATAGTTTGGGATAATAAGAGAATAAGAAAAGATGAGATACTACTGTGCAATAGTACCTTTTATGTAGAAATGTTGGTAAAGTTAAAAGAAACACACAGGTCTCCCCCAATTTACACAATTTTTCATAAAAGATGGCATCTAAGCTTATTTTGCAGGTTTTTGGGAGTTTGCAGAAAGATAGGAGAAACTGCAGAGGCACAAAGATGTCAGAAAGCATGGAGTTATGGAGAACTCTGTTATTCAATATGATCAGACTGTAATGTTTATTTGAGGGAGGAAAACTAGGAGAAGGGGCTAGAGATGGGGCCAGATAGTGAAGAACTTTACATCATCCACCTGAGTTTAGGTTTATCTTCTTATTAAAGGAAGAAAAGGAGGGGTTTTCACTTGCTGCAATTAGACAATGCATAGGAAGGGGGTAAGACTGGAGAACCCTGGGCCACTGAGGAGGCCATTATACGAATCAGTTAGGATGGGAACCTAGTCTATACAGCAGTGACAGTCAAAATAGACTGAGGAAGCTGGATTTTTAACAGATAATAAGAAAACAGAATGCAAAGAACTCAGTAATTGGTGGGAGATGGGGAAGGAAACAAGTTCATTCCAGATTTCCTGTATAGATGACCCAAAGTAGGAAATGTGGGTTTTGGGAGCAGCTAATGAGTTCAGGTTTACATGATAAGTTTAAGATATAATGATTCAAGTTTGACAGTTGAATACATGAGTTTGAGTTCAAGTAAGATTAAAGTAGATTTGAGGTTCTAATATTTAGGCAGAAAAAATTACTAGATAACATTATTTAAAAAGATAGTATAGAATGAAATATTTCTTGTTGAAAATTTTGATTGAACATAAAAATTGTAATGAGCAGATAAACAAAGAAGATTAAAACAGGGGGTGAGAAATTATGGTTAGATAAACAAGAGGAAAATGAGAAAGAAATGAAGTCACAGAAGCCAGATGAGTAAACTGCATCAAGAATCAGGGATTCCTAACTCACCACAGACGGCTGGTAGTATTATGATTGCAAAGTATCTGTTGGCTTTGTCATTCAAGAGGCCATTGATAATTTTCGAGAACAGAATTAGAAATGTAGGGAGTTAGACACCAGATGGCAAGAGGATTATGAATAAACGGGAGTTAAAGACATGAGGAGAATTAGACTTTAGACCTTTAATATTTATAAAGATTTCCAGAGTAGTAGGGCTATAGTTGGAATGGGACTTGTTAGAAATGCAGAATCTTGGAGCCCCACCCCAGACTACTGAATTTATTTTAACTATATCTTTCCTCTTCTGAATCTTCAATGTCCATTATGCCATTCTATGTGCTGTTGAAGTTCCTTCATTTAGCTCTCACTTATAAGTGAGAACATGTGTCGTTTGGTTTTCTACTCCTCTAACTTTACTTAGGATGATGGTCTCTAATTCCATCCAAGTTGACACAAAAGACATTATTTTGTGTCTTTTCATGGTATATGTATATACAACATTTCCTTTTAAAAAATTAATTAATCTATTTATTTATTTATTTATTTATAATCAATATTTTTTATTATGATATTGTGGGGTACAGTTAAGGGTTAGGTATACAAATACATTTCGTTCAGGCACCCTTGTTGATAAGAGGTGTCTCCCCGTCCCCAGACA